AAACGAAAGAATATATTTAATAACATATAGTACTACTCTTAAAACAAATTACATCAGTGCTCCTTAATCTGTAATTTGATGACGACACAAGAGTAATACAGGGTAAAAAAGCTTAATTAAGCGAGTTTGTCACGTGCATCATACTAGATTCGTTTATATTCCTATATGTGAAATTAGTAAAGTTGTGAAAGCATATGAGACATTCCAGCGAGTATCTTTGAAACATTGTCATTTTTGATTTTTTAAAAATTTACTAACATATTCTACAGATAAAAATATGAGACACGTGTTTCGTGAAAAAAATTTGAAATTTTTTTTAAAGTTTTTCACTGTTGTAAGTTGCAGAAATTCATAAAAAAAAACGTTGTTTATGCGAACATTCAAATTATTATATCGTCGAAATCATTAGTTGTACAAAAAAATGCAAGAGACTAATTTAAAAAAATCTTAAATTGTTCTCTGGATGAATTATTTTTAATTTAATTTTTTTCGTATAAATAAATCATTTTCCATCTGTTTACAATTTTTATTAACATTTTTCACCATCAACTTATTAATTTAAAAATTTTGTAAAAATATCATCATATATTCCCACTTTAATTATGAAGAATCCTGAAAATGGAACTTGAATAGAATATATAGCTAAAAAATTCTGTTATGTGACGACGCAGTTCCGTACATATACATATATGGAATAACTTTTTAATTTTATTGTATCCAGGAGATCAAAAGCTATAAAAAAACATTATTTCTTTTATTTACACTTTTTTGAGTAGAAATCGACCTCTTTTTAATCCTCTTTTTATCCTTTATAAGTATATAAATAAATTTGTAACTCTATAAATAATGCATAGATCTACCTATTTGTCATATCACTAGGACAAAGAGGAAAGCATGATATCATGATTGAAAGACGCAATGTTCGAATAATGGCCTCGAATCGGAGTTGTCCGATTTTTGAAGGAGGCCGGCTCCAACCTTTCGAAAGTGTTTTTTCTCCTCCCTGCCTCTGCGTGTCAGCCTTCTCTCTCCTTCGTTCAGATAGAAAAAAAAAGAAGCGATGTTCCCGTGAAAGTTGCCTTCTGGCTACTATAAAATGCCGTCATGACTTCCCGGTGATCTTCCCTAATTTATCCCCCCCGACTTCTTCGCTGTGCTCAACCTCTTATCCTGTTTTACTCGCAAGCATATTCGATCTTATTTCGCATACAAAGTTTCTTCGCCATTTTTTTTCAAAATTACGCCAACATTTTTTCGTTGCGTCCTTAAAATGTTTCGTCGTATCTGAGAAAGTTATTTGAGTTGCATTTTTTTGATAAACCTATTAGTATATTAAAAATTATATGAAATCGATATTATATCTACAAAAGTTATAAGCTTCTTTTTTAAGAATTGTGTGTGATCAACTAAGGGGAGAGGACAATATTATTTACTAAGCCCATTCAATAAAATATGGCATAATTTATTTTCGATGTAGATTCAGCATACTGAGGGAGATCAAAATTCGTGAAGAGTCCTCTGTATCTTGTAAGTTTTTTTTGGAGATTCTGCTTCGGTTCATTCACACACGACGCAACGCGGAAAAACAAAGCAACTAGAACTCACAACCTCGCGCGTCGCTTCGTGAATAAGTCAAAGCGATTTGAATCGTCTGTTCTCATCTCGCGTCACGCGTGCACGTGAGAGCCTCAGGAGAAAAAGAGAAAGAGAGAGAGAAAGAGAGAAAGAGAGAGGGAGAGAGAGAGAGAGAGAGAGAAAGCACACATATAGACTGTCGCGCTACATGTTAGTGAGCTTCCTTTTTATTCGTTTTCTCAGCTTCTCTCCTGTTAAATTCTCGTGTCAATGAGCAAGAGAGCCTCGCTTTCGCTCATCGTCTCATCTTTCCCTCCGGGGCAATTTCAAGCAGCAGCCAGCTGTTCGGTGCTGTTGATGCGTGCGACGTGTATAGGCTTTTCATCACGCATGTCTGTCGCTTGGTAAACGATAGCCAAGACGCTATTTTCTCTCCTTTCGGCTATTATGGCATTATCTTTTAATCCTTTGTGAAACATCGAGACATCCAACTCTCTTCCCATCTCCCTTTTCTGTAGTTTGCATTTCCTTTTTTTTTAAGATATAAATTAAATAAATAAATTAAATAAATAAATAAACAAATAAATAAAATGAAAGTGATACAAAATTCTTTCTTCATTAAAGAAAATTAATATTACTCCGATTTTCCCTTATTGTTATTATTGTTAAATATTAGATATTATAACATATGTAAGTCTTAGGAGCTTTTGATAAGTAGCGTTAAAAAAATTTAGGCAAATATAAAGAGATATATTACATAAATGTGTTTTGCAAAGTCATCAACTTCATACGTTACATTCAGCTGTATCGCCACGTAACGCCCAATTTAATTTCATCATATGAAAGATAGAAAGAATATTATGTACAATATATGTATCTATAGATGTACTCTGCAATAAACATGCATGTCTGAAGTCAAGAAGGAAAAGAAAGTCAAATAATGTCAATTTTGACGTTATATTGATCGATTATTGATCGAATTTATTTGTCATGATTTAATATGATATTATTTTAATTTTTTTATTCTTGAAAAATATTTCGAAGAACAATTTAGCAGTTGTCTAAACCTGGTTTGTTATTCGACAATGCTTCAAGCTGATGCTGTAATTGTCATTTCAAAGTTATATTCTGTAAGCGCAAGTTCTCTTAACAATTCGTCTCAATCTATATTTTTCTTCTTTAATATACTTAACTTTACGTGTGATTCGAAGATTGCAGCAGTGATCATTTAGCTGCTACTAATTGACAAAGAGGCTTCCCAATAATGAAATTAAAGAGGCTTTCTATGCTGCAGTTTTGGACATGATAATAAATACGAATGTTGAAACTAACTTGAATCGCTAAACGGAGCCGAAATATTCGATATTGTATACATATAAGGTTTAAGAAATACAATTTACATATGACGCTCGAATAACTGCGCTCACAAGTCTGCTCTCAATCGCCTGTATTATAATTATATTCATTTGGAATATATAACGTTTTTAGGACGTCTTATGTTTACATTTAAACACAGTTGAGTAAAAAATTTTGGACGTCTGAGAGAATTTTAAGTTGTCTTAATTAAAGATTTCTTTAAGATGCCTTAATGTTTACTAATGTGGGTAGATTTCGTTAATTCACAAGCGAATTGATCAAATGCCATCGTTTGCGAACAGATCTTAATTTCACGGGAAATTATGCCGCCTTAATAATTGAACTACTAGTTGTCTCGCATCCTATAAATACGTTATAGAAACACACGTGCAAATTTCGCGCGTGTCCTATGCATTTCTCATGCGCATTGCCTAAGAAACGCACAAGCATTATTTCGTCTAGTCATCGTGGGAAATCCTCCTGCGCTACTTTGTTCCATCGGATCTCATCGTAACTCGCGAGTCTTCTTCGCGAAGCGCTCTTTGAGAGAAAAAGAGAAAGAGAAAAAAAGAAAAAGAGAGACAAAAGTAAGGGAAATGGTTGAACGAAATCTGGCGACGAGCATCGTTCTCGTCTCTTGATTAGCGGTTGTTTAAGAGCAGTGAAAGTTTCTCCGCTCGCGAGAGATGCACTACCTTTTTGGAAAGAGATAAACGCGGCTTCCTCGCCTTCTCCTCCCCCTTTCTATCCATCAACCTGCATTCCCTTCTCTCTTTTTCGTGGCGAGAATTGACGAGAGAATTGTTGTTGCTATCGCGTAATACTCAGCGGATTCTCATGCGGAAACGCACTGAGAAAGGAAATCGTCGCCACAGGGAATTAACCCTATGGCTTACCTGTCCGACGAAACCGAGATCAAGCTGGAGTCCCCCCTTTCATCCCCTTTTCAACGTTCAACAACAAGCGTTCTGTAAAATGTCAGTTAATACTGTCGTACGCAAAATATCGCAATACCACAAATACGTCAATTATTTATGCGATCGTAAAGCGATGTATAGCTCGAGTATAATCGGGATTAAAATGCCGCGTTGACACGTACTGATTGACGTGAGATTAATCGTCCGTAAAAATGGCGTTGCGAATTTCTACAAGGAGAAAAAGAATCGTGCGCGCATGCTCGATTATTTTTTTAATCTGTGTGAATTTACTTTGTTTGAAAAACGGAGTTTACTTTGTAATTTGGAAAATTGACGAAGGAACTTTTTGAAAGAATATAATTTAATTCTTATACTTATAAGTAAATACAATAAACAATTGTTCTAATACTGAGAATTAGAAAATTAAAAAAGAGTGAAGGATTACCAAGAATAAAGTTAATTTACATTGACAAAAATTAATATTTTTATCAATGTAGATCTTTTAATCTCGGCTTAAAATTTATTTTTTACATAGAACAAGACAAAAAATAAATTAAACCAAGATTAATCTATATTAGTAGAGCTGGGTAAATTTAAATGTGAAAATTCCACGAATTTGGACTTCAGAATCTATTCGAATTGGAAAGGTATACAATAAGTTGACAAGTGTAGATAGTTTTATGTAAAAATACATAAAAAAGCTTTATTTCGCCACCGTTTTCTTGCAAAAAATAAAAAGTATAAAAAACATCTCTTCGCTCTAGTCGTCGTAAACATCACCATCATCATCATCATCATCATCATCATCATCATCATCATCATCATCATCATCATCATCATCATCATCATCATCTTTGTCGTCGTCGTTGTTATCATTATCGTGGTAGTCGTCGTTAAAATCGATATCATCGTTCTTCTCATCATTGCCATCATCATCATCATCATCATCATCATCATCATCATCATCATCGTCGTCGTTGTCGTCGTTATCGTATTTAGCATCGTCATCATTATCGCCGTCTTCAACTTTGTCATCGTTGTCGTCTTCTTCTCTCGGCGATCGCGCATATAATACAGCGATACGTCAATACGATAAGTATTATCGTCGCTGATCATGTTAGAGGTATGTGAGCGGTGTGTGCGTGTGTGTTGATAAACAGGAGGATAGGACGAAGGGGCCGCGACGGGGGTAGCGGTGAATTGACTAGTATGGCCCGGATCCACCGGGTGCCCCGTAACTCGTGCTGGGTCCACTTGGTCCGGTGCCACCGATACCGCCACCGACACCGCCACCGACACCGCCACCGACACCGCCACCGACACCACCACCGACACCGCCACCAATTCCGTGACCGCCGATGCCGATGCCACCACCTCCACCACCACCGGTAACTTCCTTCTGCAATGTAAAGAAAAAAAAGATTAAGTAATTAGATCGATATATTTAGGATTTTCACTTTTTCTTATTTCTTATGCTTAAATTTCTTTCCTTTACCTGAGTTTTATATTTGATAAAGTAGACTTCCGGTTTGCTGGGCTGAGTGGGTGTGATGGTGGGCAGGTTGATCTCGGGCGCTTCTTCCGGTTTCTTGACCAAAACGTAGATGAGCGTTTTCTGTTCATCCTGCTGCTGCACCGGAATCACTGGAGCGGTCGGGGTTGGTGGGGTAGGTGCCTTGATGAAGATAATCTTATAGTGCTTTTGTGCCTGATATCCCCCGCTTATGGGCCTGACCGGTCTTGCCTCAGGAGCCTCTGGAGGCGGTACATGAACGTAGATGTGTTTTTGAATGAGCGAGCCACCTCCGAATCCACCGCCGCCGCCGCCACCGAATGCACCAGAGATACCATCTGCACCGCCGACACCGCCGGCAATGCTAGTAATTCCACCTCCGCCACCTCCGCCGACGAACGAGGGAACGCCGAGAATACCTTCGGTACCTCCGGTGCCACCGGCGATACCTGCACCACTGAAAGCACCGCCTCCGCCGCCGAAACCACCGATGCCACTAATACCACCAACACCACCGCCGATCGCAAATGCACCAGCAGGAGCGCCGTAACTACTGCTTGGCTGGCTATAGGAGTATCCGGCTTCCGGCCGCGCCATCGCCGTCGCGGCGAGCGCCAGGATCTACAATTGCAATTCAATTTTAATTTCCTGTGTTGAAATATTGAAAACGAGATTGCAATTTTGATATTTGAGCTTTGTTTTATTATTTTTCTCTTTTATAAATATTTTATTATGTTTAAGAAAAACATCCCCATAACCGGACATTCACAAAATTTATTATTAGATATTAATTTTAAATGCTCTTTTTATTATAATATTATAATTTAACGGTATTTAAAGATTACAATTAAATTATAATATTATATTTAAGAAAGCATTTGAGATTAATAATAATATAAACAAATATAAAATTTCGTGAAAATATCCGAACATATAATAATTACATGTCCGGTCTTTAAGACGTTTATCTTATCATGATTCTATGAGTCCTATTTTGCAATTCTTAATGACTCTAACGATATCATTACATTGTCGTTGCGCAGCTTTTTACTGTATACGAAATCTGCGCAATGATAATGTAATGATATCGTTGCAGTCATTAAAAATTGCAGAATAGAGTCCTAAAATTAAGTTTAGTTCCACTAATGTAAGATTAACTTTAATCTCAGTTTAATTTACTATTTCTTTCTAATTTTTAGAAGTAGATAAATAATAAATTGAACCAAAAATAAGATTAATTTATATTAATGGAACAGGATCATAATATTCTAAACTTATTCTATACTTTTCGATACATCACTTTTTTTTCATTGCAATTCAGTATAATTATTGTGCTAAAATTATGTGCTAATATAAAATTATAATGTAGCTCGTAAATAAAGCAGGTTGAATTCTGTAAAATTGAATTCTAAGTATTTCTTACATAGAACAAATGTACATATGTGAAAAAATGCATTATTTATTTGTATACATTAATATAAAGAGTTCCCATGCGTTTTTAATTGAAGAAAAATTAGGTACCTCTTCCTCAAAGATAACATAAATATTTCATCTAATTTTATTTTTAATAAACATTCCCAGTATTTCTCTATTCGTTTTTTGCAATAAACGTATCTAGAAAGCAAGCAGTAAACGGTTCAGAAGTATTTCGGAAGTGCACGGCGATGGATTTACGAGCACGTGGAACGTATAGTCCCTTTCTTTTAGTCACCGGCCGCGCTTAACGTTTCACGGTATTAGCGTTACATAAACCCAGGAGAGAATCCCGACATTTAAATTCTCTTCTTCCTGTTTTTCTCTTTTCTGTTTTCGCGCAAATGGAATTAGAGAAGTGGCACAATCACTGAACCGGTTCTCGGGTTAGTCACTATCATGGAGTACATTGACACCGCACACAATATTCCCTGTGCACCCTCCCCTCTCTTTTACTTTCTCCCGCATTCTCCCGCCTCCCGCTCTCGGATGAAACCTTCGATCCCGATTTCGATCTCGATCTTGATCACGAATTCTCCTCGTTTCTCTTACGATCTTATCATCCTCCGAGAAAGATCTCGTATACGCGAGAAAAGAAACAGAAAGGGGGAACCCGAATAAAAAGACAGGAAAGAAGAAAATGAAGGAACTGAGAAGAGAGTGAAGAAAAGACGAGAGAAGGAAACGAGAAATTGGGTAACTCATCGTGGACGGGCTACTCACCATGAATGCCCTCATGGTAACTGCTGTTCCTTGATTTGAGGACTGATGCTCTGCAGATGTCTTGAAGCCCCCTTTTATACAGGCCAGCATGGGGGCCCCACTCGATGCCCCGACCCATCACCTATGAGATGCGACGGAGCTATTACAAATCTCTCTCCCTCTTTCTCTCTTTCTCTTCCTTTCTTCCAATTCTTACCTCTTCTTGCGATATAGAGCCGTTTGCGTTTGCTCAAATTTGTCTCTGTACTTTAGTTAAAATTCATCTATTCAGATAGGTTGCATCCACTCATGACACACGTGTCACGTAGTGTGGATTCAATGACAAATGAACGTGAAAAATGGACCATACGACATGTTATGTCACAAAAATGGCAAGAATTTATCTAATTGCTTCGATATTATATGGGATATTATAAGATAGTTATTTTGTTGATAAAAAGAATAATCTCTCAAAGAAATGATTTTTATTATTGTTACTCAGTTACTCAAAATGTTCTTAATAATTTTGATGGTTGCACAATATTATATAAACGCATGCGAATGCACACGCACAATAATGAGTCTACACAGAGCCATAAAACACAATTTTAATTTTTCTCATGGATTTGAATAGGCGCGCGGACAATATCGGTTGTAATATCGGTTATCGTTCTACAAATCAGTTCGTTTCAAGTCAAAGTAGAGGCGATTCAGCCTGCCCTCAGCTCTCACTCACATTTTCCGAAACGCGTGACTGCATTTAAGTACTATTTAACTACGCAGGATCCATGTTTCCTTATTATTTATCGTACTTATTATTTGTTTATCCGAATGTATACGTATTATACGTTCGCATAGAAAGAATAATTTTGCTGAAATATATAAAAATTTAGATAGATACAGATCCGAAAATAATTTCGTTAAAAAAGTCTAAATTTAGATAAAAAATATTTTGCACATTATATGTTATTTTATTCCTAATAAAGAATAATGTATTGTTATAGATAAAATATCACAAAATGAGACTTCATTATTACTATATTTAAAAAATATATATTTATTGATTTTATTGCTTCAAATTTATAAAATTGTTAATGACGAACTTTTTAATGACATCGCATAATCCTTACATTACAAGTATTTCACGAAAAGAAAACACAATGTACATTTCTTGGATATTTAAAGAAAGATAAATGCAGGTATTATACCACCCGCAAATTATGCTGCGGTTTGCCATACAAGTTTCAACCCATTTCCTACAGCCGACTGCAACTTCCTATATAAGTCGATCTCCGTCCATGAAAATACCGCTTTCTTTAATCCAAAATTTTCTCACGGCTAAATAAATTGTCGATTAATTATTGTGCTTATTTAACTTGGAAACTTTATAATTAATTATTTAACTTGGAAACGTTAATATTAATATTATTCAGATATTATTCAGAGAATGTTGTTTGAAGTAGTTTTTTCGAATTTTATGGATGGAAATAACAGTTATGTTGAAATATTAAAAAATTTGGCTAGATACAGATCTGAAAATAATTTTATGAACTATCAAAATAATTGTGGAGTATAATTAATAGAATATAAGTAATAAATATTAATAGAATGTAATATTATATTAATATAATATAAAGCTTTAATTTTATAGCATTGCTCATCATGCTTGAATTTCCGACATGATTACTTTTTTAACGAAATTATTTTCGGATCTGTATCTATCTAAATTTTTATATATTTCAGCAAAATTATTCTTTCTATGCGAACGTATAATACGTATACATTCGGATAAACAAATAATAAGTACGATAAATAATAAGGAAACATGGATCCTGCGTAGTTAAATAGTACTTAAATGCAGTCACGCGTTTCGGAAAATGTGAGTGAGAGCTGAGGGCAGGCTGAATCGCCTCTACTTTGACTTGAAACGAACTGATTTGTAGAACGATAACCGATATTACAACCGATATTGTCCGCGCGCCTATTCAAATCCATGAGAAAAATTAAAATTGTGTTTTATGGCTCTGTGTAGACTCATTATTGTGCGTGTGCATTCGCATGCGTTTATAAAGCGTGATTTTCGGCACACCTTGTAGAAAGCGTAACTGGCACATCACCAGTAGCGGCGGAACGTGATAAGCGAGTTCGGTACGGCGAGAGGACGCCATATGTTTTAGGGGCGCCTATATTGTACTAAATAAGATTGAAATATTTTTTCAATAAATTGCAAAATACATAAAAATTGTGAATTATTCAGTATTATAAAGCAAATAGATATGATTCGTGACCCTTTTATGCATTCCAAAATTTAAAAAAAAATCTCAATTTTAGTCATCATGTGTATATCGACATATAACTCTCGATTTTTGCATTTTTTTTCTAAATATTTCTTTTTTTTTCCTTTACATAATATCTATCGTTTTTTTTTTAATGATTGTTTTATGAGATTCGAGTAGAGATATACGCGTCGGTGAATAATCGATGTAACTTTCTTATTTTTTTTTGTTGTTTAATTCTTCAAATTGAAACATTTAATTTAGTTTTTTTGAAAAATATTTAACAAATATTTTACACAAGAAGTAATCACTGTGTAAAGACAATATGCAATGTTTAATGACATTTTTGTGCGCAGGAGATAAATTATTCTGTTAGATATTGTATCATCATGTCAAATGTTCGAAGCGGTGTAAATCTTGCATAACTGTTTTTGAATCGTGAATCCTGCGCATAGTCTGACGAGCTTTAAAAGTTTTAAACATCAAAATAAGAAAATACTTACAATTAATTACGAGCACTTGTTTTTCCCAGGTACCGTCCTGTAAAAAAAAAAAATTCTCAGAATGTCCGTTAGTATAGAGCTGTAAGTTTATAAGTGTAGGTTTGAAACCTACATGTAGGGTTATAATTTAAAATGCCGGGGAAGGGGGAGCGGGCACTAAATATTCTAGCGTCGCCCCTGCATGTTATAACATCTACAACTGCTTGTTGGATCCATAAAATGTTTGACTGAATAAATTTTATTCGATTATGTTGTATTGATGTGTTCGATTACGTTATATTGTACATTTGAAAGAATTATACATTTTTAATTTGTACGTGCTTTTCATATCGTGATGTGTATGAAAATCTCAAAACTCTAATTCTATTTCGTAAAAGATTTTTTTAAATATTGTTATCGACAAAAATATTAATTTTTCCTCGTAAAAAAAAAATTATAAAAGAATTTAAAATAATAAACTGTATCTGCTTTTTTTATTTTATTTGTTATGATCGATTTTTAATAAACATTTATATTACTATTTTTAATAAAATTTATATTACTATGGCCACTTGCACCAATGTTATTTTGACTTTAAGCAAAATTTAAAACTCTCTCTATTTTAAAGCCGAAAAAAAGACGGAGACAGTTTTAAGCCTTGTTTAAAATCAAAATAACGTTGATGCAATCAAGCCTATGAAACAACATTGGGTAAGTGTCGGATAATCTAATCTCGCTTGGACGACGTTACACGCCGTTAGTCTAATATTTGAACTGTGTTCGACTTGGTTTGCAAGTGCTCATATCGCTTATTCATTTTACTAATCAAAGAAACGAAAGAACATAGCTCAATTATTTTTACGTTACAACTTTTTTAGACTTAGTTGGATTAAAATGAAAAATTTCCTACTTATAATTTTGAATAATTTAAGAAGCATTTATGGTCCATTTTTAAATAAAAACTTTTTTTTCTATTAGATTGAAAAACAGCATTTCATACTCAGAATATTGAATTAAATAAAAGTATACACGTTACACAGAAATTATGAGATTCATTTTTGAAATCAACTGAATTAAAAAAACTGTATTTTCTATTCATAATTCTGAATTGTATTCATCTGAGTAGTATTCACGATGTACAGAAAATGCTAATATTATTTTTAGATTGAAAGGCGTAGAGATATGCTCTATGCAATTCCTATAAATGATTAAAAATGCATTCAGGATTGAAAAGGCACAGACATTTGCTTTATGCAATTCCTATAGATGAATAAAAATGTATTCAGAATTGAAAAGGATTCATTCATCTGTATTTCTGAAATCTTTATTTCTGAAAATCTGAATCCATTTTAATCCATTTCAATTTATTCTCGTTTGCTGAGCTGACAACGAGAGAATAGGCTAACAAAGCTGGAGACAGAAATGGACCTGGCTGAAATGCAGACCGTCAAAGTTCTCTTCACGCTAGATTAAAGAAAGATCAAAGAAATGTTGAAGCGGGAGCATTTAAAGTCCTGGAGAGAAACGAAGAGCTGCCGATAGGCCAAAAAATTAACGAAACAATCCAATCCGAGTAGAATAAAACAGCCGGCAGCAAAGAGACAAACTAAGAACTGGCATAAGCCTGTCTTCTGAACACTTGCTCCTCAGAGCACACTTATTCAACATCAGACTGGTCAGAAAAACTATTGGCTATGTGGAGAGGAAAGCGTGATCACCATGCATCTTCTACATCTGCAAGAGATATATATCCTGGGGTCATATGTTTTTAATATCCGAAGATTTAAATGGCACAAAGATAGGCGATCTCATAAACTTGGTACACGGTACGGGGCTGGACTTGACCGCCTAACTTTGGAAACAAGCAGGGAGAAATAATAGAACTCTAGAGATCTAGGTCACACTAGGCGGCTATCACCTGCATTATTTACTAATACTATTAGATACTACTATTACTTAATTGGTAGAACCGGACGTTAGGCAAATTTAAATGTAAAAATTCCACGGAATCGGATTCCAAAATCAATTGGAAAGGTATAAATTGAGCGTAGATAATTTCATGTAAAAATATATAAAAAGAGCTTTATTTCGCTACCGTTTTCTTGTAAAAAATAAGAATAAAAAACATCTCTTCTTTGCTCTAGTCGTCGTAAAAAAACATCATCATCATCATCATCATCATCATCATCATCATCATCATCATCATCATCATCATCATCATCATCATCATCATCATCATCATCATCATCATCATCATCATCATCATCATAATCATCATCATCGTCGTCATCGTCGTTATCGTATTCAACATTATTATCGCCATCTTCAACTTTGTCGTCGTTTCTTCTCTCGGTGATCGCGCATAACAGTGATATGCCTGCGGTAAGTATTACTGTCATTGTTAAAGTGATAGGACAGAAGTGCCGCGATGGAGATAGCGAATTGACTAGTATGGCCCGGATTCACCAGGTATTCCGTATCTCGTGCTGGGTCTACTTGGTCCGGTGCCACCAGTGACTTCCTTCTGCAATGTAAAAAAAAAATTAAATAATTAGATCGGTTTAGGATTTTCGCTTTTTCTCATTTCTTATGCTTAAGTTTCTTTTCTTTACCTGAGTCTTGTATTTGATAAAGTAGACTTCCGGTTTGCTGGGTTGAGTGGGCGTTATGGTAGGCAGGTTGATCTCGGGCGCTTCCTCGGGTTTCTTGACCAAAACATAGATGAGTGTTTTCTGCTCATCTTGTTGCTGCACCGGGATCACCGGAGCGGTCGGAGTTGGTAGGGTAGATACCTTGATGAAGATGATCTTATAATGCTTCTGAGATGGACGGCCGCTGGATGTGCCGAGGACACTATCGGGACCGCCGATATATGGACCACTTGGAGCACTTAAACTGACACCGCCGCCTGTGCCGCCAGCGCCGCCGCCGACTGCTTCAAGATCTTTAGATGGTCCGTAAACATAGACGTCTCTAACAATCTGCCTGGCAGAGGCAAATCCGCCTGCCGTCGCCGCATTAACACTACCGCTGACACCTCCTTCAGCGCCGACACTGCCGCTAATGCTAGCAGATCCATCTCTGCCGAAAAACACCGGGAATGTGCCGAGGACACCATCGGGACCGCCGATATATGGACCACTTGGACCGCTTGGAGCGCGAAACTTGTGCTGGGCCCCACTAAAATGCCACTACTAATACCACCAACACCACCGGCGAGCGAATATCCACCGGAAGGAGCGCCATAGCTACTGCTTGGTTGACTATAGGAATATCCGGCTTCTGGTCGCGCCATCGCCATCGCGGCGAGAATCAGGATCTACAATTGCAATTCAAGTTTACTTTCCTGATGTATTTAAGTACGTATTGAAATGTATTGCATATATAGAAATGTATTAAATGTGTATTAAAACTGAGATTTCGATCTTTAATATTTGAGCTTCATTATATTATTTTTCTTTTATAAATATTTTAATATATTTAAGATAAATGTTTCCCGTAATTGGACATGCACAAAATTTGTTACTAGATATTATTTTTAAATGCTCTTTGTATTACAATATTATAATTTAAAGATTATATTTAAAGATTATAATTAAATTATAATATTATATTTAAAAAAGCATTTGAAATTAATAATAATATGAACAAATATAAAGTTTTGTGTAAATATCCGGACATATAGGTATTACATGTCCGGACATTAGGACATTTATTTTATTAAGATTCTAAAAATTAAGCTCAGTTTCACTAATGTAAGATCAACTTTAATCTTAGTTAATTTACTATTTTCTTTTTTCTAATTTTTAGAAATAGATAAAATTGGTAAATAGAAATAGGTAAATTGAATCAAAATTAAAGTTAATTTACATTGGTGGAACAAAGTCGCAATGTTCTATGAATACTTTTCAGTACTTCACCTTTTTCTTTTATTACAATTTAGTATAATTATGCTAAAATTATGCTATTATAAAATTAATAAATAATGTAACTCGTGAATAAATCAAGTTGAATTCTTTAAAGTCGAACTCTAAGTATTTCTATATAGAAGAAATGTACATGTGCGATAAATACATTATTTATTTGTATACATTAATATAAAGAGTTTCGATGCGTTTTTAATTGTAGAAAAATTAGGTATCTCTTCCTCAAATATAATATAAATGTTTCATCTAATTTTATTTTTAATGAACAATGATTCTCGGTATTCCTCTATTCGTTTTTGCAATAAACTATCTAGAGAGCAAACAGTGGTTCAGAAATGTTTCCGGAAGTGCACGGCGATGGATTTACGAGCATGTGGAACGTATAATCTCTTTCTTTCAGTCACCGGCCGCACTTAACGTTTCATGGTGTTAGCGTTACGTAAACCCGGGAGAGAATCTCGACATTTAAGTTCTTTTCTTCCTGTTTTTCTCTTTTTTGTTTTCGCGGGAAGAGAAACAGAGAGAAGGACACGAATAAAAAGTGAGACAGAAGAAAACAAGAAAAAAGAAGATGAAGGAACCGAGAAGAAAGTGAGAAAAGGAGGAGAGGAGGAAATGAGAAATTGGAGAAATCATCGTGAACAGATTACTCACCATGAATTCTCTCATGGTAGATGCTGTTCCTTGATTTGAAGACTGAAGCTCTGCGGATGTCTTGAAACTTCATTTTATATAGGCCTACCATGGAGGCCCCACTTGTCTCGATTAATCATCTATGACTTATGCCCTATGAGATGCAACGCACCTACAAATCTCTCTTCCTCTTTCTCTCTTTCTTTTCCTTTCTTCCAATTTTTACCTCTTCTTGCGATATAGAGCCGTATGCGTTTGCTCAAATTTGACTGTGTACTTTAGTTAAGATTCATCTATTCAGATTCCATCCACTCATGATATACACGTGTCATGTAGCGTGAATTCAATGACGAATAAACGTGAGAAATGGACCATATATTATACCAAAAATGGCAAGAATTTATTTAATTGTTTCGACATTATCGCTATATCATAACAAGAGTTATTTTGTTGATAAAAAGGACAGTCTCTCAACGAAATAATTTTTATTATTGTTACTCATTTACTTGAGACGTTCTTAATAATTTTGGCTGCACAATGTTATTGTATAAATGTAGATAAAAAGTATTTTGCCTATATATTGCTTTATTCCTAATAAAGAATGATATGTTGTTATGAATAAAATATCACAAAATAAGACTTCATAGTAACTTCATTATTACTATATTTAAAAAATATATATTTATTGATTTTATTGCTTTAAGTGCCACATTTATAAAATTGTTAATGACAAACTTTTTAATAATATCGCCTAGTCCTTACATTACAAGAATTTTACGGAAAGGAAACACAATGTACGTTTCATGAATATTTAAAGAAAGATTATGAATGCAGATATTATACCTGCAAATTATGTTTGCCAAGTTTGTTGTACAAGTTTTAGTCTATTTCCTACAGCTGGCTGCAATTTCCTATAAGTCGATGTCCCCACAAAAATATCGCTTTCTTTAATCCAAAATTTTCTCACAGCTAATTAAATTAATTGTGAGTTTAATTTGGGAACGTTAATATTGATATAATTCAGGTATATTATTCAGAAATATTGTTTGAAATAGTGTAGTTTTTTCGTATCTTATGGATAGAAATAACATTTTTGTTGAAGTACCTAAAAATTTGGCTAGATACAGATCTGAAAATAATTTTATGAACTATCAAAATAATTGTGGAGCATATATAAAAGTTATATAAAAGCTTTAATTTTACAGCATTGCTCATCATGCTTGAATTTCCTACATGATTATTTTTTTCAACGAAATTATTTTCAGATCTGTATCTATCTAAATTTTTATAAATTTCAGCAAAATTTTTCTTTTCATGCGGCCGTATAATACATATATATGTTCGAATAAACAAATAATAAGTACGATAAATAATAAGTAAGTATAGATCCTTCGTACGTAGTTAAATCGCAATTAAAGCCACGCGTTTCGGAAAACATGATTGAGAGCTGAGGGCAGACTGAATCGCGAGAGCCTGTTTGACTTGAAATGAACTGATTTGAACAATGATTATAACTGATATTGTCCGCCTGCCTATTCAAATCCGTGAGAAAAATTAAAATTGTGTTTTATGTACACTTATTATCGTGCGTTCGCATGCGTTTATAAAGTGTGATTTTCGGCGCACCTTGTAGAAAGCGTAACTGGCACATCATCAGGAGCGGCGGAACGTGATAAGCGAGTTCGATACGACGAGAGGTCGCCATATGTTTTAGAGGCGCCTATATGGTACTAAATAAGATTGAAATATTTTTTCAATAAATTGCAAAATACATGAAAATCGTGACTTATTCAGTATTATAAAACAAATAGTTATGATTCGTGACTCTTTTCCAAAATTAAAAAAAAAATCTCAATTTTATTATCATGTGTATATCGACATATAACTTTCGATTTTTGCAATTTTTTTCTAAATACTTCTTTTTTTTTCCTTTACATAATATCTATCGTTTTTTTTTAATGATTGTTTTTTGAGATTTGAGTAGAGATATGCATCAGTGAACAATCGATGTAACTTTCTTATTTTTTTTTTGTTGTTTAATTCTTCAAATTGAAAAATTTTATTTAGTTTTTTGAAAAATATTTAACAAATATTTTACATAAGTAGTAATCACTGTGAAAAGACAATATGCAAT